CCGCAAAACCCCAAAACCCCAAAACCCCAAAACCCCGTCTTGCAGTCTTAAGCAAGTTAATCTGGCATTAGAAAATAGAAAATAGGGAATCAATTTTATGACAAAATCTTAACTCTATATCGTTCATAAATTTGCAGCTGGTGGAGGTGGACTTCTTCCGATAACTCCACAGCCTACTCTGGCTCCAGCACTTCCTGTTTTGAGAGAATCAGCTGTTCCACCAAGGCCCATATCATCAGCTAAAAGATGAACTTAGCAAGATCTTCCTATAATAGAGAAAGGTCCGACTAAATGAATTTTTTTATCCATAAAGTCAAAGTTTGATACTCCTTGGGAATCAGCTTAGATGTTTCCAAGATCTCCAACATGATTATGAGTTTGTTCTGGTGCACCATGATCATGGGCGAAAGGGTTATAATGGCCTCCAAGTGAGGTGCAACCATTAGATAAGTCTCCATATTCGTGAATATGGAATCCATGTTGGCCATTTGGTGTCAATCCAGATATTTATCCTGTTAATTGAACTCCAAGAACTGATGATTATGTTAATTTTACGTAGCCTCTAGCATTATGAGTTGGACTACGTGGTTCAATCAAACAATAAGCGTGAATTGGAAATTGACCTAAATCAGCATAATTCTAATTCAATCTTTTCAGTAGCAATTCAGAACTCTTCTAAATTACACTAGGATCGATTCCTTATGGATTTATTAGTCCAAATACAGAAATTAGAGATGCTATGAATGCAAACTTCCTCATTTTAGTTAATTATTATTATTATCATCAAACCCTATCTTAATTTTTTATAAATATTAAAGAGATTAGTGAGGAAATTAAGCAAAGCTTATTGTTTGTATAAGTAGATTAATTTTAATAATTAAAGATCATTGTAGAAAATTCTGAATTGTTGTATATTCGCATCAGGACCTTATCAATAGCGTTCCTCATTAAACTTTTGATATTTATTGCCTTTCCGCGCATCTAGATCTGCTAAGTTATTATCTTTAAATGAATTGAATTTCCCAGATACTGCATCCCCCTCTTCCACATATAATTCTTTAACTATATCGTAGCCATTCCTTACAAAAAGCATTAAGAATAGACCAAGAATGATGTTTATAATAAGCGCAACAAGAAACCTGTAGTATATCCACATAAGTAAAAATGATGAGATATGAAAGAATAGAAGCTCGAGCATAAAGTATTTGAAGCATTAATAAGACTTTTCTTTAAGATTTTCAATAGCGATATCAATTGAGTCAGTACCTTCACCTCTTAGAGCTCTTCCTTGTCCAAACATTAAGCACTATCAACAGGCATAAGGTAAATTTAAATGATACAAAAGTAGAGATAGTGATAACAAGTAGTCCGAATCCCATTGATATAGTAGTTGAAGAAAGGTAACCAAGTTACAGTATTTAACTCTGAGAGCCCTGATCTAGTACCAATCCTCCAAAGCAAAATCCTTGTAATAACATCATATAATAAGTATTTACCAGTGATAAGAGCAGCTTCTGTAGTCATCGTTCTAAATGTTTTTGTCCAGTAATTCAATTCTTATAACCTATTGATAAGTTGACGAGTGATCTGATTTTATGAAAGAAAAGTACCTAATTTTGATAATATTTTACTGAATAGCAGTGATGGTTGAATTTTTGAAAGCTTATATCATTTTTGTATTTTAAATTATTCAATATTTTAAATTAATCTTACATTTTATTTTATTTAAATGTAGTGGGGTTTTGGGGTTTTGGGG